AAATGACTAGGCAACTTTTCATGATGCACAAAAATCTGAGACATGCTTCCAATCTTTTGACACCCTCCCCACCCCCCCATGGGGATTTGGGATTCAAGTTAAAGAGCTTTCAGCAGAAACAGAAAAGCTTATCAGTGGACTCTGAGTGAAGTAGCAAGTGCCGCTTCAGACCTTTGCCATTTTCAAGATTTCTGTATAAAAATGTCATAGAAAAATGGTGATTCTGCTCATCCAAAAGAAAAGCTATATCCTTTTGGTGGACCATTGATCACTAGCAGATCTTGAATTTTCAGTGCTAGATTAGGTCATAAACCAAGATCAGAAATGGCATTGCCAATGCCTATAATGGGAATTGTTTCATCTCTATCCCTAAAGCCATTGTCATTATTTTGGTCTGGATGAAGAATTTGTTTTGTTTGGGTCTCTTCATGTCTTTGCCATTATTCTTGAAAGTTGAACTGTGGGTCACCTATGCATTTTTTGTCTGATGTCTTCACTGTGACTATCTTGCTACTACTGAGCAGGTTGTTGCATCAAGCATTTTTTCATCGCATCTGTATCTTTTTTCACTGCAGTCATTAACTGAGCTATTTGTTTCCTGTTCTGCACCACGGATATCCTCTTCTTAGGTACCTGACACATTTTGTTTCCTTCCAAGTTTCACAGCCAGTGAAAATTAAAACAAGCACCACCACATCCTTGCATATTCTTGCACATGCTTGCACTAACTTGCACACCCTGGCACACACTTGCAAAGGTCATGGCTAGGGAAAATTAAAACAAGCATCCCAGCTCTGGCCCAGCTCCTGGGTGGTACAGCTCTGGTGTGTTTTACTGTTCAGGTTGCTAAGGGAGTTAATGGCCCATTAATGACCCATTGTGCTTTACTTCACAGGGGCTAACAATCATCTCTCTTAGCTCCTTTAGCTGCCTGAACAGTAATACCAGAGTTGCACTGTGCCACCCTGCCCCCGCCTCTACCAACAAACATGTACCATGCTGCCAGCACCCCCTGACCACTGCATCCTGAGCTGTTGCTCATGCTGCCCACCCCTAAGGCCAGCTCTCAGTAGTGGTATCTTTTGTTAGAGAACAGATCATCCAAATGCCCGTAAAGGTGTTTTAGTATTTTATTTACTTCCTTTCTCCCTCTCCCCGTCCCCAGGCTCTTGTAACAGGGCCAGGACACTCATTTGGTTAATCTCTGGACACAGGATCTGTGATCTTGGGCTGTGTCACAAAACTAACACTAAAGGTTAGTAGGTGGGGCAAGCAGCTGTGAGTTTTAAATGTCCCCTAGCCCTTACTTGGAACACCACCTGCCAGACAACACAACAGCAGTACACTGTGCAAAGTGAGATCACAATTTTTTCCGCTAGGAAGCGATTCTTCAGTGGGAATTGAGCATTCTTCCTTGATGAAACCTCACAGCCTTTCTTTGCCAAGTGCCCTGAACAACTTGACAGGTAACCTAAAGTAGCAGAATGCAGTGAACTCACAAGTTGGGGGCTGACTGAAGCAAGAGAGTATGCTCACCGTACAGTAGCTGGAGAGATGCTTTCCTCCACAGAGATCCTGTGACCTGACTTCCTTCCCTACCAATGTGACTGTAGCCCTTACCCTGGATGTCCTGCACTGGTGAAGGAATGGAATAGTGGTTGTAGGCAGGCCGTCTCCACAAATACTGAGGGTTAAAAGATTTCAAGGTCATGTACGTTGGTGACCTACAGTGGGAGTTGTGTGCACCTGTGAGCACCATGCAAGCACCTTGAAGAATTCCAGCTATTCTTCTTATTTCACAGCTCCTGCTGCTCTGCCTCCAGGCCCAAAGCCCTGCACCCAGGACACTTGTTTTAATTTTCGCCAGGCAGCTGGGACTGGCCTCTGAAATACAGGACTGTCCCAGCCAATCCAGGATATATGGTCACCCTATCTATCACAGATTATGAGCTTCAGGGAGAAGTTACTGAGCTCAAAGGATCATAGGAAATTATGGCTGGAAGGGATCTCATAAGGTCATCTAATCCAGCCCCCTGCTCAAGGCAAGATCATCCCAGCCAACTGTCTGTCTTGCTTTTGAAAGTTTCTAAGGATGGAGATTTCTCCAGTTTCTAAGGATGAACAACTTCTCTAGGTAGTCTGTTCCAATGCTTAACCACCCTCACAGTCAGAAGGATTTTTTATCCTTTTGAAATGTATTTCAACACTCAGGCCAGTCTCTTCCCAACACTCTGTTCTTGTTTTATTTTATGTGTGTGTGTGTGTGTGTGTGTGTGTATTTGTTTTAATTATAGCATTAGGAGGGAAATGGGGAACCAGGCCAATCAGAAGAAAAGGTTAAAGCAGTTTCCAGCCAAGTGACAGCTTCCCCATCATCAGGGTCGGACACTGGTTGGGCACTGACACAACCAGTCCCTCATGGCCCTTGTTTGCATTGCACTAACACACAGACTGTAACACACAGATGTACAACAGAAGCCCTCCTCCCACAACAGTATTACAGAACTGACACAGTCAGAAGGGGAATAAATATCCAAGCAGGGACTGTAGTGAAAACACTGTGCAAACTTGTCCATGATGTGCAGGGAGAGGCAGTATTTACAAGCTCCCAGAGATGCAGTGTTGCTTTGAGGGCTGCGTGGGCAGCAGCATGTGTAGCTGGGGCAGAGAGGAAGTCTGTTTTTCTTTCAGCAGTGCCTGAGGCCCTCAGCTCCTCACCTAGCACATGCTCATGCCCCAGCCGCTGTATCACAGAAATGTGTATAGTGCCCTGCACCTTTTATGTTCTTCTCTCCAAAACATTTGGAGCAACGAGGACAGAAGCACATGGATGTTCCTATAGTAAAGGCTTCCAGGAGCTTCAAATTGTCTGTTGTACTGCTCCAGGCAGTTGTGTTATTACAGATTTTTACCAACCACTTAGGTCATATCCAGGGTCCAGTAGTGTAACTAGGGGTGAGTTAGCAGGGCATTCATCCCAGGCACTGGGAATCATTTAACCTCTTCTCCATTACCTTTTTGTCCTGTCAGCTCCTCCATCCCTCTTTCTTTCCCACTGTATATATTTTACATCTCTTCTGTTTCTCTAAATGAGCTCTAAGGAGAGAAGCCACCACCCTGGAATGTTTACCCCCTATAGCAGGGGTGTCAAACTTGTCTTGTGCTCCAGGCTGGATCTGTACTGTGAGTTTTCTTGTGGGCTGTATTCAGACTGCAGGTCTCCTTGAAAGCCTGGGGTATAAGAAAGCTGTGACAGCAGCAATCTTCAGCTCAGATCCGAATATCATGGCAGTAGCAGCAGCAGCTCTAGCTCCAACCCAGGTCATGCAGCAGTGGTACCAATCCCTGCCATGTGGCCTATGCTGGAGCTGAAGCTGCCACCATCACCACATGTCCTGTACTGGAGTTGCTAGAGTGGCTGCCCCTGCCACATGTCCTATGTCATGGCAGCAACAAAGGAAGTGGCAGAAGTCTGGGTTTGCAAGGGGGGCCTGCCACTGCCACATGTCCTATGTCATGGCAGTAGCAAGGCATGTGTCAGAAGCCAGTAGCCAGGGAGGTAGGGTGGTGGCAGTGCAGACAGGTGAAAGGACCAGAGGGTAACTGGGGTTGTGTCGGCCCTCACTCACCTTTCTGTCGCTGTTTGCCACATCCACTGGGGCCCAAGTGCCCTGGATTCTGTGGCAAGCCACTCTTCCCAGCCACACCAGTAGTAAGGCAGGCCAGGTAGAGAGGCTCCATAGGCTGGATGCAGGCCATATATTTGACATCCCTGCACTGTAGAGTTCCCCTGGAAACTAAACTCACCTTTATTGATCTTCTGTTCTGATCAGGAAGTCCACATCTGGCAAGGATTCAGCAACCCACCTGCATCACTGTAACTGCTGGAAAGGATTGGTAAGACAGCCAGTAATAAGCAACTTCCTGGTCACCCATATCAAGTGATCCACTGAACCACGGGCTGAAAGAATCAGTGAAAAGAAACACACCCATACTTCCCAGTAGTGGACCAAGGAAATGATCTGCCTCCTGCACTCCTGAGAAGAATAATCTCCCTCTGCAGTCCTCATTGTGCCCCCTTTGTCTATCAGCAGCCTACACCACATCACTGAGACCTTTTGCTGGTGCCCTCCTGGGCACATGAGTTGCCCAGGAGGCAATGGCAATACAGTTGTGCAAGGATTACAGTGCCAACCACCGGCTCCACCTGGTTGGGTACAGCCTGATCTTTGTGGCAGGCATCGTGCTCAACGTCGCGGCACTCTGGATCTTCTTGCGCTACCTGCGCCTCAAGACTGTGGTGAGTATCTACATGTTCAACTTGGCAGTAAGCGACTTGCTCTTCACATTATCCCTGCCACTGCGGCTCTACTATTACTCCAACCAACGCTGGCTCTTTGGCAACTTTCTTTGCCAGGTCTCTGGCTCCCTCTTCCAGATCAACATGTATGGCAGCTGCCTCTTCCTCATGTGCATCAACCTAGACCGCTATGTTGCCATTGTCCACCCACTCCGCTGGCGCCACCTGCGGCGCCCCAAGGTGGCCCGGCTGCTCTGCCTGGTGGTCTGGGTGCTCATCCTCATGGGCTCTGTTCCAGTTGCAGGTGTCCACAAATCAAGCTCCTGCTTGACAGGGAATCAGACAACTGATCTGTGTTTTGAGAGCTTCAGCAATGACCTGTGGAAGAATGGCATCTTCCCGCTGGTTGTCCTGGCTGAAGTCCTGGGCTTTCTCTTGCCACTGATGACTGTGATATACTGCTCATTCCGGATCTTTCTGAAGCTGTGCCGGGTCAGCCAGACAAACAGCCTGCGGCAGCAGAAAACCATCCGCCTGCTTGTGGTCAATCTCATCATCTTTGTTATCTGCTTTGTCCCCTACAACACAACTCTGGCTGTCTATGGGCTGATAAAGGCCAATGTGATCCAGGCCGAGCTATCCACGCAGACCTCAGTGCGCCAAGTTCTTATTGTCACAGTGCTGTTGGCCAGCATGAATTGTGCTCTGGACCCCCTTATCTACTACTTCAGCACTGAAGGTTTCCATAACACCTTCAAGAAATTGCGGCGGAGGCAAGCCTGGGACTCTGAGTTTGGAACAGGCAAAACTCAGACTGGGGAAGTGCACTCTACTTCAAAAACAAAGTGGATCCCCAGCCAGAGAACTGTCTGCTCCAATAGAGACTTGCCATCACCTCCCACCAAGATATTTTTGAACAGCCCCATTGAAGACTCAGAAATATAATCCTGGAATTATGGGACTGCTGAGTTGGGAGGGGGGAGGGGAGGAGTCATAAAATGATAACAGGGAGATTGTGAGAATTTGCTGTAAAGTGCTGTGCTCAAACTGCACAGCGGTGTGAGTGCAGCACAATGGTAAGCACATATACGAAGCCTTCGGACCAAAATCTGTTGAACTGCAATTAAATTATGATAAAGTATTTTAGAACAAAAGGAGGAATAGTGGTGACGTGTCTGAAAAAGTACAGTCTTCTGCATTTGGGTTAGTTTAAAACAATAAATCTTGCATTTATGTAGACAGTTGGACTAAATCAGCAAAGGCCAACCTTTTTGGCTTTGAGGCCTATAATGGCCTTAACTACAGCCTTCCATCTCTTCTCATTTGTGTGAAGAAAGACCCATAGCCTTCCCAAGTGTCACTCCAAACCCCTTCCCTTGTCTGATCTACTTCTCTGCTTCCTTTTCCCTGTCATATCTGTCCCTGTGTTCCCTGTTATATACAAGTACTACATGACTGCACAATAAAACTATGCAGTCAGTGTCTCGTGTAGACATGGCCAGTGACTTATACAGTGGTAGGGTTGTAAGGGACCACAGGGGTCATCTAGTCAGGCGTGGTTAACCGGTAGTATGCGTCACAAGTGCAGCAGGCCAGATGTCACTGTTAGAAATGGGTGGTGCAGACTATAGTAATGCAATAATGTGCTGTGTACATATTCTTTGATCTGCACTCTGTACCAGAGCCCTGTAAATCTTGAACTGAGGGACCAGCTGCACACTGGCAATGCAAGAACCCCTTGCTGAGCCACTATTACCAGACTTCACCACTATCACCCTGTCTCACTTCCTCTGCTCCAAACTGTTCACACAAGTGTCAGCACCCTGTCGTCAGCTCTGCACCCAGGGCTGGGTTAACCCTTTAGTAGGCCCTAGGCAAACAAACATGTGGGCCCTGGGCTGGTCGAGACCTCCCGCCACCTTCCCCCCCGCCAGCGAGGAGTGGGGCTCAGAGCTGCCACTAGGAAGCACACACTACAGCGGCAGGGAGGGGAAGGGAAGGGAAGCGGATAGGGCAATTTGTCCCGTCACTGCAGAGGAAAGGACTGGGGCCCTACACAGCTCAGGGCCCTAGGCATGTGCCTAGTTTGCTTATGTATTAATCTAGCCTTGTCTGCACCTTTACCCCCTCATTCCTCTGCTCCTTGCCTCCCTGCATTCCAGCTGGGCCAGTCACATCTGGAATCCCACACTTCAGAACTTCTGCTGGTTTCTTGCAGGGGCCAGGAAGGACTTTTTTCTCCTTATCAATGTTCATTGGATTCTGGGTTCCACTCTCCATTTCTTCTGAAGCACTGGAAATTGGTCACACCTAAAAGATGACATTTTGGCTAGCTGCTCCTGCTGCTTGGGGCCTTGCGGGTGGGCAGGGGGACAATATACATGGCTTGGGGATTGGAGTGGTATATTTCTTTACCATTGTAGTCACCCTTGTCTCCACTCCTTTTTATCTGTGGCAGGTTGTAGTGTGTCTCTGATTTTGTTTTCATAAAGGGCTTTGTGGTTGTAGGGTCTGGGGGGAGAGAATGTATTCCTTGGATAAATGGTTGCCTGCAAATGTAGGGAACTGGGCTTGATCATGTGAGAGGCCCCTTTTAGTCTTATGTTGCTTCCTTCTCCCTCACATTGCCTCAGCACCTGCAAAGCCAATGCTAAGTGAGAAGAGACAATACCCTTGTTTTCAGGTCCTGTGTTCAGTGCCACCCCTGCCCCTAGTAGGGACTGAATACTCCAGTCACACTCAGGAGCTGTGAGGGGACAAGCATACTCAGCACAGGTGGACTCTTCAGACAAGGTAGTATCGTGATAGGTCATGGGGGACCAAGGTTGGGGCCCCCGAGGTCACAACCAGTTGGATCCCTAGCTAGTAGAGCAGAGAGTCAGTTGCTCTTTGGTCCCAGGAACCTTTATTTATTGACCCAGACTGGAAAGGGTCCAACAGGAGAGAATGAAAGATGCTTATCTCAGAGTAGCTCCAATAGGCTTTTCGGGGCTAATGAATTTCTGCTGAGCATGTATGAACTGAGATTTTTCAGAGACTTATAACTTGGGCAAATTGCGTAAATTTGCTTGTGGCGAATGGTACATTGCTGACACAAAGGTCATTGCCTGCCAAATTTCAAATATTTGCTTAAAACATGAAAGCACCAGAACATGTCAACACAACAGCTGTAAGTTTTATCTGTTAGGTTTTTTACAGGATAGAACAGCATATTTTTCCCAGCCTTATTGTTGAAAATGGCTGAACAATTTTACCTGAAACATTTAATAAGCATTTAGCCTTTGGCAGAGTGCCAGCGTAGGACTGGTATTATAAACAACAGGAAATATGATTTCATCATGGAAACTGGTGACTGTATTTACCACTGCTGCCACTGCCTGTGCCACCTATTAATACAAGACACATTTCCTGGGTTTGAACTTTTGAAGGTTTCCCATTAATTTGTGAGTTGTTAATGGGGCCCCTAATGCGGTTAGATAATTTAAAATGGTGTTGCTCTTCTGTTCTCAAGTTAGACTGTCCGGCTGGATTCTTTTGTTTAGCTCTTGGAAGTTTTCTGTCTAAAAGTTACCATCTGGGATTGCTGAGCTTTTGATTTTCTGTTTATTGGGTTTACATTCTTCCCAGTTTTGTCAGGAAAAGAAATGGCATCAATTTTTCCTTCAGGAACATCGATTTGTAGTTCCACAGTGCATTTGTGATAAGCAGCATGCATGTGTTGTTTCCACCCTGAGGAATGACCTGCTGACCACATTTTTGTCCTACAGTTGCCAATTAACAAGTAGATA